TCGTCTTATATGGCATCTATGTGGTGGTTAGTGATTTGATATATTTGACAAGAAAAAACTAAAATATTAATACATCAAATCACATACCGCCATATTAGATGCCACATAAGACGATTACCGCAGTGAGCGACTATGAATAATATTAGTGTATCATATGAACGTGTTAATTATAGGAAATATCCGTTTAGTTTTAGTATTGATATTGTAATTTATTTGTTTCCCAAATTATTTTTTCAATTACCTCCTTACATATTTTTCCTTGGAAAGAGATGAATATATGAAAAATTTCTCTATTGTTCTATTTGTCTTGGTATAAGAGCACGTGAAATTGATATACCTGATTCTGAAGTTGTCCATGAACTGCAAACCTGTTCTTGCTTTAATCCTAGATACCTAGGATCTATTCTTTATGGTCCAAAATCATTACAATATACTTCCGGTGAGAAATTGACCGGTCGAACTTTGATTCTTTGTCTCATATTGCTCTCATGTTAATTACAGTATGAAAAACTTGGCTATATTACTGGTAAGAAGAAGGCTCCTGAGAAAACTTTTGCTAAAGCCTATGAAACTTTGGAAGAGGAAAATTGTAATGTTAAAACATGGCTTCTTAATTCAATGGAGAACCATATGAGCGGACTATACACGATTATTTGTTAGGTGGGAAAAGATGGTCAATTAGTGTCTTGACAAAAATGGCATTGGGTAAATCATTTTAGCGGACCATACACCATTATTTGATAGCGATAAAGTAAATGGATGGAATATGATGACAAGGTGATTTGTGCAAAGAATGGTCAATCGGAGACTTCAAATGTCAAAAGTGAAATGATATGAATAATTTGGGCAATGGATTCCCCATCCGAGCTCTGATTGGCGGCCTTGAGCTGCCCATAAAACCCGATGATGCACATTCCGTCCTAAAACAGAACACATCACAGACTGAAACTCCCAAAATATTACCTACAATCCTCCTGTCAAAATTCAACTACAATAGCTTGGGTATATTATTTAATTTTTAATTCTCAAATAATCAAAATCAAACAAAAGCTTATTCCAATTTTTGAAATTGATCAGTATTATCCTTCGGGCCAAGCCTTTCCCAATCATCAACTAGAATACCATATAAAGTACCTATTTCTTTTCGACTAGAGCATAGAGAGTACATTCTAAACCTTCCTGAGTATGAGAGAGAAAAATGGAGACGAGTTTATTTTCAAAATGAACTGGTCAACATGTTTATAAGCTCCTAAAACATCCTAACATGAAAAATTAAGTCCTTGTTTGAGTTCCATTTTTTCAAGAATGCATTTTTTTAAAACTCATTTTCAATCACACATTTTTTTATAAAATAATCATACACAAGTTTCAAAAACTTTTCCTTACTTCTTAGCCATACATTCTTTAAAAAATTATTATTTCATAATACATTTTATCTCAAAAATGGGAATCAAATAGGGGCTAAGAGTATTATTCTAAAAGAATAAATTGTGGCTACGCGAAAATATCAACCTTCAAGCTTTTACGGGTCTTCGCAAGTAAAAATTGAATAGTGTGACTAAGTGGCAGCATCATACTTTGTGCCTAAACCAGCTTATTAGAATACTGATTAAAAGAAAATTAGCTTATTTTTCAGCCAAAATTTCAATGAAGGGGGAAAGTAAGCATCATTCTCCATACTTTTCTAGCTTAATTTCAGGTTTGGTCAAGGCTTTTAACATTTTGCCGATGCATTATATAAAATTAAATCTATTTTATTGTTCTATCTTTCCACTTGTATTTAAAATTAACTAAGCAACATAAAGGTGTTATGATAATTCATAATTTTATTTTTGTTTAAAGATATATGTTTCTCTAACATTTTTGGCCAAAAAAAAATGTTATTTTTTTCATAAACCTTAGAATTTACAAAGTATGTGAATCAAAATACAAATAACTAAGAGTCTCACAACTTAAAAGGTAACTAAGTTAGAAAATAAGCGCTCCCGGGATACAGCCCAGTGGTGCAAAGAACAGGAGTGAGGTTATCTCACGTTTTATCGGCAATCGCAGTGTGGAGGTTCGATTCCTAAGACATGAAATTGAACTCCTTGTAGGCGCAGTATACAGACAGCTCTCGTTTCCTGACCTGCAGGAACACATCCCGTCATTTACCTCCCTCACAAAACTCTAGGGGTGTGACGATGGGAGGCCTCAAGGTTGGGGTTCAACCTTTTTTTTTAAGTTAGAAAATAAGCAATTTATTTGCTAAATTTAAGCATAATATCTCTCAAACATGGACGGTTTGAATGTCCACAATATTGAAGTCTTTAGAAGGAAAATGACTGGACACAAGCCAAAATACATTATTTTGACCAATACTTTATCAATTTGGAATCCAGTGATAATCCAAAATAACTTTTAATAATAATTATGATGCATTCACCTTTTGATCTTAATTATTAATCAATTAATTAATTATTCTTTTTACCTGTCTTTGAATGCCTTTGCTTATTACAGCCAGAAACTTCAAAAATTCAGTCAAAGGAAAGTTGCAGTTCAACAACGTTTTATGTCGTGCAGTATTAAAACCCTTGAAATCAAATGCATGCATCTGTTCCTGTTTTGCCTACCAGCTTTTCATTATTGACTAATTGCATCATCTTCTCTGAAATTTAAAAATAACTTTTTTGAGAAGTACATAAATATTAGAGGACCTTAAGGTTCAAACCAGTCAATATATGAGGAAAATATGCGTAAATTTATTAAATTTATCGAAAATCTTCCTCGTTTACTTATCAGTAGACAGTTACTATGCTTCTGTTTGACGAATTGATAAATTATTTATAAATTGATTAAACTTCATTCTGAACAATCAATATATATTATACATCACTCGTTTCTATCTATAAAGTAGTTAATGAATGATGTATGATGACGAATTTGATTAGAACAAATCTTGAGGGAGACAAACCTTGCAAAGATCAGATACTTTAGATTAAAAGAACAATATCTATGTAAGATAAATCATGCAAGAAATCCAGCCTCAAAGTTGTAGTTGGATTGGATCCCAACTACACCTTGATTCTGAAATCCAACTACCTTTATAAATATCAAATTATAAAATTAAAAAAGCAAATGCTTCTAGAAACATGATATAGTTTAGATTGCATCACTCCTATCAATATAAGCCTTATTTAGGTTATCACAAAATGCGACTCTTTCACCAAAGAAGTCCTTCTTTTAATCTACTTTTGATTGGTGGCACCCCATACTTAACGTGTATTCATAGGGTAAATAAAATAGATGGGTTAGTAATGCCATTCAAAACTTTCGAACAAGATGGAGACAAAACGTGTACAAACCAATTATCGATCAAACTCTAGTTTAGGCATATTTAAGATAGCTTCTGCTTTTTGTAGTAAAACTTCTTAAGGAATTAACATTGATAAACTTACTCCAAAATCTCTTTTAATTAGTCAACATACTTTAGCCAAAACGTACTGTTCTAAAAACTTAGCCACCATACTCTGATGTTTCAATCAACAGTCGATGATTTATTTAAAAAAAAAAAAAAAAAACATTGGCAAATCAACGCATACAAAATCAAATTCTTATATAAATTCAAACCACCTCTTAATCTCAAAAGTTACTTTTAACTTTCCAAAAGTCATGTCAGTCAGGCTCATTTCGTAGTTCAGGTGTACATGTATTGATACCAACCAAGAATTTGTTTATAAAGTTAATACATTAGTATCTAATATATATAACCTCAAGTTTTTACCATTTGTCAAATGGTCTTGAAAAAAATTTCCTCCATTGAACTTGCTAAGAAAATGTGAAATTACAGATTTCTTTGATCACCAAAGCACTATGTCGAAACTCATCACATTCGTACCACCTGTCCTCTCAAGGACATATTAGAGCACGATTGCCAAAAAATCGTATCCAACAAATTATATTTAATCAATAAATATCATGGCCATTAATCACTGTATCAATATATATCTTCTTAAGATGTAAGCAAATCCCAACACTTGGTGATGGCTTATTGGCCTTCTAGTTGTTTTCAAGTCCAAGAGCTAAGCACCCACTTATTCTTTTAATCTGAATAATTAGTGAGTGCTTGAAGTCACCCTCCCCCCGCCCCCCCGGCCCCCTTCCTCTATTAAGATATCTTGATTATAGTACAATCATCCTTCGTGACTGGCTATATTAGGTAGAACTCGCACTTAGAGCTCGCCTGCAAGAGTGCTGAAATAGCTATGACTCCCTCAAGTGTCTTTAAATCTACTCATTTCAAAACCATCTTCCGTTTTCTTTTAGGTTGTGTATCACCAATGAAAGGGTCAACAATAGACACAACTCAGAAGGACAGCACGTGAGAAAAGACATAGTATCTACAACCCAACGAGCGAGAATTTTCAAGATATTTGTGTGAATGTAAAATTCATGGAATCGAAGTAAAAGAAGTGACAATAATAAATATGAGCATACTAAAGAATCTTTTTTCCTAATGCCTGTGATACAATTGGGGCTTATTGGCATAAACAATCAATTTAGATAGTCCTTTCTCTTCTTTCATAGTGACATCTCAACCTAACCGACTTTAGAACTAGTTTTCCATTGAAAGTGGCATCTTCTTGTTACTTTGTATGCAACAATAGTCATATGACTCAGACCTAGAAGGGGGCCAACCCTTTACTAGAACACTCCCTCAAGGCTCGCTCGTACAGAGACGTTGCCCGTCTCAATTAGAGTTGTTATATATCTTCACCTTCATAGCACATCTCTCCATTGATACAGACTAAAATGCATATTGTGTATGTCTAATCTACGAAGAGTTTGGGACATACCAACAGACACATCATTGTCATGTTACACAATAATGATATAACGGTTGTGTTATATGTACGTAATGGTTTACACACATGATGTGGTAAGATATGATTGAAACATAATTTCTTCAACCAAATAAAAAAAGAAACTTTCTCACTTATTTTTAACATATCATCTGTATGTAAACAATTATGTAACTCCTTATGTACAAGTGACATTATTCATGATCTAATACAGTCCCACTTTGAATAGGAAAATCAATTAATGCTTGATAAGTATAATAATGACCCTATTAAATAAGATATGAATAAGGATACTAGAGTAGCTTTCACAACTCAAAATGGTACAGCATAGCTGATCTTTAGCTTGTGTGGAGCACATTAAAAAATTGATAATGACATCAATTGACTGACGGAATGAAACAAGACCAAGAGTACCAAGTATAAATATGGAACAAACACTAGTACCATATGTCAGGGAATTTTAGGAATAAAAATCCTACATATTACAGAACAAAAACATAGGTTTTTTCCTCTCATGTCTATGGTACAAAATCTGGGATGGGGAGTCATCGAAGGAGGGTGGAGAAAGGGCCCTTGGACTGCAGAAGAAGACAGGTTACTCATTCAATATGTCAAATTGTATGGTGAAGGAAGATGGAATAATGTAACCAGGCTTATAGGTACAACTCACTAAAAACCTCAATCCCCGTGCACTTAATATCATCTTACGTAGTCTTTTTGGCCCTATTACATCTTATGCTCAGCACTATTTTGGCATGTTTATCATGCTGGATTGGGCAGTGTACTCGACTAGTTACTGTCGTGACATATACACTACTCTATAACCATAGATGGTGCAAAATTCGTTTTAAAGTGTTTATCCAAGTATTCAACTCATGCTTCATATTCAGTTGTTTTATTTGTTTTTCACAGGATTGAAAAGGAATGGGAAAAGCTGTAGATTGAGATGGGTAAATTACCTTAGGCCAGACCTGAAGAGGGGACAAATAACACCACATGAAGAGAGTATAATTCTTGAGCTACATGCTAGATGGGGTAACAGGTACATACAATCTACCTTATTGAACGTGGTCATAATATTTTAGTTTACAACTTGATCGATTAGAAAATTCTGGAGAACAGGTGGTCAACAATTGCTAGAAGTCTACCGGGAAGAACTGACAATGAAATCAAGAACTACTGGAGGACTCATTTCAAAAAAAAGGGAGAAGCTTCTTCTGGAAATCCTGAAAAATGGCGAGCCCACCTTCTGAGAAGGCAACAATTTCATTTACAGCAGCAAGAAAAACAAGAAGAAAATCAAATAAACATGAACAAAGTCGTATCATTGCTTGATGAGAGTGAAAATAGAGTGCCAACTCTAGCTCAAATGAAGAAAGAAATCATATATCAGGACACGTCTGATGATCTTGGCTTCATATATTCTATGATTAATGGCAATGCAACCGGACCTGAGGCCTCAACTGAGGATATTTTATGGGAATGGTTGTGGAATTTGGATGATTTTCATGAAAACATAACTAACCAGCATACTTCGGTTGCAAATTTCCATTGAACGATTACTTGCACCAGTTTTCAGTCTTTCAGTCTGCTGTTTGACGAAATAGCGCTAAATCATAGAGAACCAAAGCTTTTCAGCCTAAAATTATGGTTCTCCTGGCTTGTGGATTTTTTACTTTTCTTTTCAGTTACCTGTTCCAAGATTTCCAGGCTTGTGTACAACATGAATGATATCAAACCATCATTTCTTGAAAAAAGTTATGGCATGTTTAGAAGGTGGATTATATAATTCTAAACAATATTAAGGAAGAAAAATTAACTGAAATCTTGTCCATTGTACTGTCTAATATGATCCAATACTATGTACCAAACATGCATATTTAGCCTCACTATGTTTTCCTTATACGACAGGAAAATGAAATATATTATAGCTCTTGGTCTTTTTGCCATGAATCAAACTCCTTGTACACAAGAAGCATTACTGGGAGACAGGTGGCAACACTGCATTGACATGGACAAAATTGTTTTTTGCCCAAGGTCCAATAAAGAGTTGCAGACTGTCTCCCTGTAATGCATTGTGTACAATCTCATACATATAGCCTGGTCTTTTTACCATACTCTTAGAAAGAATCAGTACAGTTATTGCATACTCCATAAAGGCACAACTTTAATAGATTAAGCAATTCTAACTCTTAACATTCCCATTTCTGTAATCTAATATTTCACATTTACCTAAATCAATAAATGATTACGTTTAGTTATGTTAAGTTCTGTTAAGATCTACGGACCACAAATGAATTTTCTAACATTATTGAGGAGTGGCAAATAGATAGTAAATATACCACATACTATATGTGATGCGGACATCCATTTACTATTTATTTTCTTTCATTTACTATTTATTTTCTATTTGGACTATTAGTTATATTTTATTTGGATTATTATTTATATTTCTGTTATTGGGCTTGTTTAGCGGATTTAGCCCAAACCCTTCTCTTTAGGGTTTTTGTTTTGTTATTTATTTCTGTTTTGTTGCGTATTTAAGACAGTTGATGAATTAAAAAATGGAATGCTTGGGTTGTTGCCTATGGCTTCCTCCTTCTCCCCTTTCCCTTGATTTCTACTTCTTCTC